TTAAAGAGAGTAAAAATGAAGCATGGATTCCAAGATTTTTATGCAGAGATCATTTTTTTCAATAAAGTTCGTTCAAACTCAGTAAAGAGAAAGATTTCTGAGAAAACTCAAGCTAAGACAACAAAAATTCAACAGAAGAATAACCTATGTCAAGATAATAAGATCAAGAGGCGTTCAAATACCCCATTAAATCCCTTGATGACCTCTTTTGCACTCCAAAAATGAGAATACAGATAGAGACCTTTAACTACATTAACTAACAAACCTTTGGATGAACAAAAATTTATATTTCTAATACTACAGCAAAAGTTCAACTGATATGATCATAACCAGATTATTTTATTATTGCTTATATTTTATTAGTTTGACAGTAACAGTTTTGGTCTCAACAAATGACATCAATTATTTGAAGTAGAACAAATTAAGCTAGAATCCAGGAGAAATTAAGAATTCTTTGATTTTTTGCTGAAGAATTGGGATAGGAAAATTGAAAAATATCTAGGAATTACACCTAAACAGATATGACAATTTGGTCGTAAGAACATTTTTGCTCCTGTATCAATTGATGTAGGAAAAATTAGCTTTATTTGTGACCTGAGAATTTGGGATCACTTTAGGAATTTAATCACACCAAAAAGTGGGTGTAGAAACAGAAAAATTAACATGGAGCCACACCTAGCATTCCATATGCATCAAACTTAAGACACGAATGCATCAAGCAACCAAGGTATTCAAAAAAACTCTCATGATAATTTTTCACTCCAGGCTTGATATCAAGAATAAAATTACATAGCCATTTATAATGCTTGAACATACAATCCTAATCTAACCATAACTAAAGAATCCTAATAGAAACTTATAACCTTGAAAAAATAAACTATAAATAAAATACTAAAGTTACCAAACTCCTAATGTTTCCCGTACTATTACACTAAATTGCAGATTAGATAGAACTAAAAATTCCCAATCTATTTAGAAATTTTATTTTACATTCATTTTGCATCACCAATCATCCAATTCTTTGCATAACGTAAAACTGTCATTCTTCTCAAAAAAAGATATTGCAAAGCCGAGTACATACTTCCATCTGGTTTGTTAACAAACATCCGAGCCTTAGCTGCAGCCACTTCTGCAATGCCCGCATGCATCTGAAAGAATTTATAGAGTCAGAGAAATATCTTTATAGTAGCATTTAAGAGTTTTTTTTCCTTTTTCTTAACTGAATAATATTTATCAAAGAATCTACAACTATAAAATACCGCAGATATGTCTTCATCACAACCGTGAGAATCCTGCAGCAGTTCCCCAAAATAGAACCTCCCCTGCGTGCATGTAGAATATGCAACTGAGAAGTGGTTAAGCTTACTTTCCAGATAAACAGTTTATCTGAAAGTGAGAATGATAATCCATGCTGAGATGTGCAAATCATTTCAATGCACTATGTGGTCTTACATTTTCTACATTTCTTATTTTACACTACACTCTAAAAATACAAGTAATGAATAGGAAATGCCTTAGAGATACAAGAGCTCATAAATGTTATATGCGTGTATGTCCAATAGATTCAATCTAATGCCTCATGCACCTACATATATGGTACGCTCATTGACTTCATAGACACCACATCCATGCATTCTACTATGCTTCCACTGGCCAGCGTAGCGGTACCGACCTTTCTCCCTGACATAGAAAAATTAAAATTTACTATGGCATAAAAACAGTGTTCTAGCTCATATTCATTTAAACTAAAATCAAAATCTAAATAATCAGGTATCTAAGTCTTTCAATTTCTGGTAGCCATCCATTTAACAGCTTTTACATAAAGCCAGGGTACCTAGCACAAGTCTATGAAGAATATGAGAATATAGTGAAAAAGCATAATTGTGCTGATTGATTAGTAAAACATGAAAAATTTAGCAGATAAAAGGATAAATAGGATGGCCATATTATAATTTGAAGAAAGATGTAG